CCCCGGCCCCCGCTGCCGCCGCTGCCCGCCCCGCCCGCTGCGGCCGCGCCGCCGACGCTGGCGTCCGCCGCGCAGGCCGCGTCCCAGTCGTCTATATGCAGCGTCGCAAGGCGGTACCCCGCCGCCCGTATCACCCTGTCCCGCCAGGCCGTGCGCCCCATCGGGCGCCGCCTGCGGGCGGACGAAGCAGCGTGGCGGCGGCGGCGGGGACGGCGGCACAGGCCGGTGGTGCGAGTGCAAGGGGTGGACGGAGCGGCGCGGTGCGTCTGGCCATTGATGTGGTGCTTGCGCACACGAGCATCCCACTCTGCTGCGCTCACCTCCTCTGTAGATAACCCACTCTCCCTGCAAAACCCGCCAAGCGCGCCACTGCCCCCATCGCCGCCCACGCAGACCACGGGGCGGCCGACCCAACAAGACTTGCCCTCCCTTCCCACCCGGCCCCCCTGCAGTCTCCTCCCATACATCTTGCGAGCGCAACGGCATGCCGGCCACCTCTCCCCGTCCCACCCAGCTGCAACCGCACAGGGCAGTCATGTGAATGCTCACTCCGCCCCACCCAGCCTTACAGGCCCCAGCCCGCCTGGGGACCGGGCAGTGTCCCCAGGGCACTCACGTGTAGGGGCGGTTCCGTAGAAAGTGTGAGGGGCCGTCCACCTCTAACAAGACCAGGCCCTCTTGTGCAAGCCCCGAGCCCACCTCGCCTCCACCACCGCCCGTCACCCTCGGCCCCACAGCCACGGCAGGCCCAGGTTTAAAAGCTGCCGAGGCGCCCGCCGCGCGCGCAGGTTGACTCGGCGCCCAAACGGCGACGTCGGCGCGCACGGGCACGCCCGGCGGCGCAAACGGCGCGGCGGCGACGCGCCAGCCGGCGGCGCGCAGCGCGGCGGCGGCGGCGGCCTCGGCATAGGAGGGGTCGTCAGGGTTGCTGCGCCACGCGGCCCAGGCGGCGGGCAGCAGGCGGGGCGGCAGGACGCCTGGGCGGCCCTGGGATTCCAGCCACGCGTGCACCTGTATGGATGTGGTAGAATTACAGTCATTTATGTGAGAATTTTGCCAATCCTATGCCCACCCGTACATGGAGGTTTATGGACTCACTCGCGGGCACCAGTGTGTGCGTGCGCCACGCCGCTTTCTTGCGGCCCCTATGCGGGCAGAGCACGTGCAGCAGGACGTGCCATCTGGAACTTCCTGCCCCTGGAGCCCCGCACACTTCTCACGCACCACCCACCAGCAGCAGCGAAGACAGATCCTTTTGGCCCCCAAACTCCCCCAGCCACTGCGAGCCCGCCGGAACACATTCTGAGCCGTCCCCCGCGCCGACGGGCGCCGCGGCGGTGCGGGCGTCGCACTCGGATGCAATCGCCGCAAACGCGCCCTCATCGTGGAACCCGAGGTACGCAAACGCGCGCGCCGCGGCGACAAGCGTCGCCGAGCTCGCGCGCCGCGCGGCGCCCGGCGCCGCAAGGGCACGCGCTGCGGCGCACGCGAGGCGCTCGTGGGGGTGGCCGACATGGGCGTATGCTGTCAGCAGGGTGCTGAGCGCGCCGATGTCCGTCGCACCCGCGGCAGAGCGCAGCGCCAGCTCAGCGGCAGCGTCCAGCAGGCCCGGGTCGTAGTGCCGCAGCGCGGCCGCGGCGCAAAGCAGGCGGACTAGTCCGCGGGGCAGCGCCCGTTCCTGCGGCTCGCACTCCCTCTCGCCCTCAGCCCCGCTGGCGGCCGACGGCCGTGGGCGGGCGAGCCGCGGCAGCTGCCGGCCGGCTCGCTGCAGCAGGGTGCTCACGAGGAGGAAAGGGTAGTGGTTCAAGACTGCCATCGAATGCAGCACCCACGCCAAGTCGTTCAGATCCATCTCTGCCAGCGCCGGCCGCGTCGCCACGGTCAGCGCAGCCAGCAGCCTCGGCGGCACGGGCTGCTGCTGCTGCGGCGGCTGGTCTGCGGCTGCGGCGGCGCCGCCC